GTTCAACAATTTTGGTGCGAAAGGTGATGCCGCCAGTTCAGCGACAGCGCCAGAAATGAATGTCATATTGGTATGCCCAAGGCCAAATTTACCGCATCGGCAAAAAAATCAGCGAAACAACTGCGAGATCTTGGGGTAAATATAATAGCACAGATGGTCCTCTAGCAGAGCTAAACAGTCCTGGTCTTTATACCCAATTGTGTTGAATGTCGGGGTATAAAACTGGCTTAAGGAAGGCCTGTTTGTTAACCCTTAGTGAATACTCATTTCTATTTTGAAAAATGGCATTAGTTTCGAGCTGACTTTTTTTAGCCTGATCGTACCCTGACTTTGATGGTGACGTTGGCGACAGATGTTCGTGGGGGTTGTCCGCGATCCGTAGCACGAAGTACTAAGCGAACTGAATCGCTTTCCATAGTGTCACGATCGATTTTACCAATAAAGAGAATTCCAGCCGATGCTTCGACGGCTAACCCAGCTGGTACATTTTCCAGGGTGTAGACGATCTGGCCGTTGTCCCCAATATCAGGATCAAATGCCTAGAAGCATTCTGTTATGGTTGAGGCAGATATGGGAAACAGCGGCCGGTTACCTCAAGTTTTTGCTTCAATGTTTTTTCTTCATCAATTTCAATTAGATATTCGGGATGTTCGAATGTAGGAGTGTTATCGTTGATATCTCTGACGACAACTTTGCCTGGACAGTCCGCCCACTTTCCTGGAATAAATCTAAATTGCAAAATGTTTTGCCTAAGTTGAAATTGTTGTTGAGTTGTTTTGCCTGGGCAAGAAAAGAGGACGTAAAGGCCCATGGCAAGAGGGGAAAAAACAAGGTTACCTTAGCTGTAAGACATTCCTCACCTCTAGCATCAGTGGCTCTCACTGTCAGTTCAAATTTGTCATGTTCTTCGCGATCAATGGGAACTCTGGATCGGAACTCGCCCTGCTCCGAAATCGCAAACAGCTCAGCACCTTCTCCAAGAATTGTGTAGTTGATCGGTGAGGAGATAGTAGAATCAGCATCGGTCGCCTGAAATAGAGCCAATGACGAGGGCAGAATGAGGCCCGGATCCGCCCATAGGTCCAGTGTGATGTGCCTTAGTGGGCATCGTCTTTGCGGAAGAAGTTTTCCCTTCTCTTGCATTGTTCAGTATATCTAATGACCGGTTGCG